TGCTGAAGCGTTCCAAATAATCCTCCACCTCCCGTGCAGTTGAATTTACGCTGAGCGATTCCAATTCAGATAACGTTGTTATTAAGAGAGAAAAAATTCCGGATCGCGACGCCAAATGTGATAATTAGAATAGTGGTAGGTATCTTAACTACCGAATGTACGCGTAGTATAGAAGTCCGAATATGGACGAATGAATATCGTATATTCTCGTATATCGCGGGCGTAGTGACCTCGATCCAGTTGCCTTGCATAGTCGTTGGGGGACCGCGATTGTTATTTCAATTCATGAAACATATTTGCATGTTAAAGGCCGTAGGCTGCTTGTAGCATTTGTACGCTTTATTCAGCTGGTCTGCATTAGACCAGCGTGTGAGTCTTCTGGAACATGGAGAGAGATTGGGGCAAAATGTTTGTCCACAAAGTTGTCTAAGTGACGTCATGTGGTGACTGGCCGGATACTCTGAGTCTGGAATGTTGTTGCGGGGCATAAACGTACCTCCGAAAAGGCTGTGCTACGATGAAACAGTTGAAACACTGCTGTTGAACCGCAAGGATGCTGCAGCCATCCCCTCTGTGATTGCCTGCGGTGGGTAAACGGACTGCTCGGGGGCTCAAAAGCTGGGGAGGTCTGGGATGTATTTCCATTCACTGTGGTCATGGCAGTCGTTGGCTGTCAGGTCCTGGTAGGTCACTGCTACACTAGGCAATGAAACCAAGGCTCCAGCCTCGTGTGCGCTGGCGCCACGGCATTTGGTCCGCTTGCTCCAGGAAGCCTCTGGATATAGACACTAGATGCAAACGTTTGACGTGAATGTGGGCTGTCAGTCGTACGAATTCCAGGTCCTTTATTGCACTTCGAGTGACTCCCATAATGTAGGACCAACAGGCGGGCGGTGCGCTAGGCCTCCTTGTAAGTCTGGCCAGGGCCTAGGACTTTGCACAGACGATAAAGATGAAAGTCACTTCCATCTGATTCTCATCCTGCACCGTTTTTCGGGACGACGCGTTGGATTCTGGCATACTGGTGCAGGCTACTGTGAACAAGTCCGGCTCACTTTGCTGCTGAGGTCCGTGAGATTGATAACGAACCATAGCAGCAACTAGCGAGCTAACGCTCCGATAATACTATGGTGCGTGTACAGCAACAACTATGTCAGCTAAAATGGGCGGAGATTGTAACGGCGGGTTGGTTAGGTCAATGATGGTAAGATGGTCATGGTCAGCATTATCGGCCGACGGCTAGCAGCACACCCAAAATTTCTCTGAAACCGTGGTTCGAAGGGGGAAAACTTTAACATAAAGTTATAACATTTGATGGTAATTTTTCGGGCGTATGAGACCTTCCCAAACGGCCGCAGTTTTGTTGAGAATTGTTTAAGCCTACTCAATATCCACGAAATTTAAGCCCCCCGATATTCCTATTTTACTGGTTGCTATGGCTGAGCACGTAAATACGGAGGATGATTTTGTGGAGAATTTAGCTCGTCAAAGTTTCTTCTCATTCAGTGCATTTCAAGTCACTGTGAAAGAGTACTAGGCAAAATATTCCGTTGTTTTCGTCCGTATAAACTCCAAAAAGAGCAGTAATTCACTGCTTTTGTATGAAAAAGCCTTCCACCGTTTCAGCAGACATCCCTGCAGACGAAGCCGAAGCCGTAGAATTCGTCGCAGTTAGTAAGTTCATGGTTGATTGTGTGTACGTTGTAGCACACGTGGTACTGATTGTCCGGCAAGGCTCCACGTTCGCCAGTACCATGACTGCTTGAGGGTTACTTCCTACTACCTGGAGCACAACCATCCACTCAGCAAGTTTATTTTTGACAGGCTACCCATCAACCGGCGACTGACAAATGATGAATTAAAGGAGTGTTTTACCCTTTTGAAATACGGTGCTCCGTCATCGGAGATTCAGCAGTACGTCGCCGACCACATTAGAAAGGTACTCACTATCAAGGATGTGCGTAACTATCGCGCCAAATGTCGAGCCCCATTGTCAAGTAGGTCGTTGGTTAACTTTTAGTCGGTTTCTTAGATGACATGTCGTCCACCATAACCAAGTTTCAAGGGTGCGGTCGCGTGCTGCTGGTGGAAACGGAGCGTGGCAGATATAGTCACCTGTGCTTTTCTCGAACGCAGCAGATAGCACTCTTTAGACGCTTCCCGGACGTTGTAAACGTTGATGCTACACATGGTACTAACCGTCTTGGGTAAATAAATTTAGAGCCCCTGAGGTTCGCTGTCAAGTAACAATTTTTATACATTCCTTGCGACGGATGGCATGGGTATCAGTCGACCCGTAAGGTATGCCTTTGTAGAAAGCGAGCATTTTGCGCCATTGTGCAAGCTGTTCAGCTTGTTCAAGGCTATGATGGGTGGACAATATGCATATGCATATACATATCACCGTTATTGCTGCGGCAATGAGCCCTGCCCGCTATGTGGAGAAAATCTTCATGCGCGTCCACCAAATGAGTGCACATGTATCAATTAAACTATTCCCATTAGTTGCCGGTCGGCAAAAAAGAGCTTGCTTTGATGTTGATCTTGATTGGTCTATGGAGGACAAGCCGAGTCTGCCCCGTAAGACAGTCGCAATAAAGCTGTTTTGTCCAATTTCGGAGTTGATGGATACCGGTAATTTGAGGCCTAATTTCTTAGCATACGCTTTATAGACCTTGCTTTCGTATCCAGTGATGACGAGGAATTCGTGTGACTGTAACTCGAGGACTCAAAT